TCAAGGATTTGAGGGTGGAAAGAAACATGACCAGTGACTTTTGGGACGAATGCAAGGAATGTGTGTTTAGAAAAGAAATTTTAGCCTATTTCAGCACATTTTAAATGTTTCTCACAGTATATTGTTGAAGCTAAGGAGACCAGCAACTCCTAAAAATGTTAATGCAGTTTTAATTGCTGCATCTCAAGAAAAATATATTGGAAAAAGCAATTAATGTGGTCAAGAGAATAAGGGACTTGCTGTATGGGAACAAAAAGTAGGTTGATTTCGTCTGGGAGGGGCTAAATGCAATGACTCTACGATCAGCAAGGTGGTACTGCTTCCCATAGCAGGCAGGTGATAAGGAACACATTGCTCCAGGCAGTAGAAGAGCTGAAGATATAAATAGATTCACATACCTATAGGAAAAAATATATAAATGAATGAATGTCTTCCCCACAAAACCCGCGTATGTGGTTCCAGGTATAATCTAAGTCAACCCAGTGCTTCAGAAGAGATGACTAAGTTTAGTGCTTTGTAACATAACCATTATGGAGAATAGTTTCTGTACTTTTTTATGTGAGATTTTTAAAGCCAGACAGGACTGAGTCCCATGACTGGGTTGTAACTGGAGGTGTGTTGTTGCCGTAGTGTCTGAGCAGCAGGAGAGAGCTTTCACACTGGGACTAGCAGGACTTCTTGGCGAGGGCGTTTTTAACTTTGGAGAACTTGTAAGTGGATCCTGGGCACAGATTGCTGAACAAGGGGGAGACTGTGATTTTTGGCCAGCTAACCATCTCGGTCCTCGCAGCTCATGCACCCCGTGCTGGAATCACTGAGGAGCACCGACCGGCAGTGGCTGATTGACACCCTGTATGCCTTTAACAGTGGCAACGTAGAGCGATTCCAGACCCTGAAGACTGCCTGGGGCCAGCAGGTCAGTCTTGGGCAGGGATGGCTGAGCACGCCCACAGTGCTCTTGCCTTTTCATCCATGTGTCTGGGCGTTTATTCAGGAAATGTTTACTGAGCACCTTGCCTCTACACACCAGGCCCTGGGGAGGGAGGAGACTAAGACAGGCCAGCCTTGCTCTCATAGAGCAAGTGGTTATGTGGCTAATGAGTTACAGTAGTAACTCATTAACTATAGAAGTGGTCAGTGCTACAAATGGAGAGAATACGATATAGGAGTTTCATCTGTGCTGGGTGGAGGCTTCTAAAGGAAGTAATGCTGTTTGTGTGACCTCAGGGATGAGTAGAAATTAGCCAAATGAAGAGGATGGAAGAGCAGAGGAAAAGGACGCTTTTAGCACATTGCTGGACTGAAGTAGCACGTGCGAGGCTGAAGCGAGTGATGAGAGTGGGAGAGGGCATGGGGGGCAGGGAGGAGGGGTCAGTGCAGGGGAGTGGGCGCTAGGAGAGGGGTTGGTGCAGGGGAGAGGGCGCTAGGGAGGGTGTACAGGTGAGGGAAGGAGCCTCTGGGAAGTGGAATTAGGGAGAAGAGGTGCTTAAGAACTTGAGCTTTAACAGTTTTTTCCTTTTTAAAGGAAATTATTAAAGGCAAATATTACTGAAATGCTAATGGTGATAGGAATTATGATTGTGTTGTTTCTGTACTTGTCTGAAACTTTCCATTTTCTCAGCATTCAAAATAAACTTGTAGAATTCACACGTAATGGAGCAGAGGAGATATAAATGGACTGTGAAGAGGCAGAAAGCAGATCCAGCCAAACCTGACTGTAGTCTCTGTTGACATCTCAAAGAAAAAAATGTGCAAATCAGAAAGAAAAATGGCTAGCTGTAGAAATTTAAAGAAAAGAAAGACCTTCAGAGGTGCAAGCCAACAGTATCCGTCTAAGCAACAAGAGCCTCTGTGGGGGGAGTGGGCCCTTTCTGAAGAACTTGACCTGTCCAGTTCCCATGGCAGAAGTGTACCTCTCGGGGCTGCCTGTGTCAGGGTGTGAGTTATTGAACATGTGAATCAAGTAATCCACTCTCCTTGGTTTGGTTCTGTGCTCAGCAGATAAACTTTGACCCACCTGCAAGGAGATTTAACCTTGCAAGGTCATGCAGAGGGACTGTTTCTGGTTCTCATGACAATGCTGTTTCTCATTATAAATTAGTAACTTGCTTTTTCAGTTTGGAACAAGTCCCTGGGACTTAAGGAGTGTGTTCCTCAGAGGCCCCACTTACATCGAGCTGCCTGAGCAGGCGGTGCATCTGGACCCAGGACACAGGCTGTTCATCCTTCCCTGCCTTTCCTTATGCCAAGAGTCTTCCCAAAACACCTGTGCCCTGTAGTCCTGCCTCTGGTGTTGGTGACATTAGTACAAATCTTACCTTGTAAATTCCTTTCTTGGAAAATGGCCTTTCAGCGAGGCACTCTTCTAATGATTTCCTAAGAAAAGTGAGGTTCAAAATCACGTGAGGCTAATAATGAGCCTCGGTGATCTACTGTGTAAAATGTGTGGACCTGCTTAGTTTCTTTGTGTTCGACGTACTGTTGTAGGAAGAATTTCAGAGCCCAGGTTAGGTAACTGATGTCTTTCCGCTTCACAGCCTGACTTAGCCGCCAATGAAGCCCAGCTTCTGAGGAAGATTCAGTTGTTGTGCCTCATGGAGGTAAGCGAGCGTCCAGGAATCGTTCTGTGATTGCAGACCCTACAGGTGAGCCCAGGCACACTCTCCGAGCCTCTCACTTCGGGCCCGTCCCCTCCACCTCCTTCCTTTTCCCTCTGCCACCACTTGCTTTTTGAAGTTTGTGTTTGGGTCTCAGCTTAGATGACCCCTCCTCAGAGAGGTCTTCCCTGACCATCAGAGTTAAAGCAGCTGCCACTTCGTTGCACTTACTGCCCTGTCTACATGTTCATCTGGCTTTCCCCACCAGAATATAAGCTTCTTGAGAAAAGGGACCTTGTGTTTCTGGTTCATGGTATTCCCAGCCCAGGTGCTTGTTCAGGAAAAGAAGAATGACTATTGTAGAAAACTACTATAAAGCTTATTTCACCTTCTTATCTAAGCATCGAAAGCTTGTTCTTAAGATACATGTCTAACATTAAGAGAATTTTAGGATGTGGGATACTAATAAGATCTATATTTTCGGAACATGTATTGCCAAAGTATCCTTATCAGTCAGTTCTCTGACAATTTTTATTTGGAAAAATAATAAATGAAAATTTCTTTCAGATGACTTTCACACGACCTGCCAATCACAGACAACTCACTTTTGAGGAAATTGCCAAAAGTGCTAAAATCACTGTGAACGAGGTATAGTTGTCCTTGGACTCGAACTTACAGCAGCACAGCTGCTGCCAGAGGGCTGCTTGTGTGAGCACACTACTCAAACACCACAGGAGGAAACAGCGTCCTGTTTCCTCCTGTGTCAAGCTAGCGGGGTCCACAGGTGTGTGCATGTTGGCATCAGGTTGTCTTACACAAGCCCTCCCTGCAGGTGGAGTTGCTGGTGATGAAGGCGCTCTCGGTGGGGCTGGTGAAAGGCAGCATTGATGAGGTGGATAAGCGGGTTCACATGACCTGGGTGCAGCCCCGTGTGCTGGATTTGCAGCAGGTGACGTGACTGAAGTACAAAGTTCACCCTTGTGGGGGGTTGGGGTTGTATCTATGCTGATTTAGTTTCGTTTGGATGGAAGCCATTTAGGAAGAAAGCATTACTAGACGAGAGATTTTGGAGAATGAATTACTGCTGTGGGGACTGAGTTTTTCAAAGAACCTAATTTAATGCAAGCCTGGGATTTGAACCCTGCATTTAAAAGCTTATTGTGACAACAGTGCTGGTTGTGCTGATGATGCCTTTTAATCTTAAAATTGGTACTCTGATCAAACATGTTCCTGGTTCTGTGATTTGAGCTCAAATCCATCTTGTTCACATTTGCTGGAAATTTAATCCTCTGGATTTCCTCTATTCTTGCCTGTTTTCTTTCATGCAAGTTTTTTTAAATGTCCTTGTGATAAGAATTGACTGAGATAATCCCATCTCACATACTCCGCTCCTCTAGCTCTGATGTCCTTTCTGTTAGTGCTGCTCTCAAGAATTAGCTGGAAATTTAGAACTGCCCCCATCAGGTGCTGTGTCTTAACACCCGTGTGCTCCTGGTTTGCAACCCAGATCAAGGGAATGAAGGACCGCCTGGAGTTCTGGTGTACCGACGTGAAGAGCATGGAGATGCTGGTGGAGCACCAGGCCCACGACATCCTCACCTAGTGTCCCCCTGCGTTGGCCTGTCTGTGGGCAGGTATTTCGTTGCTGATGAACCTGGCAGCTGAGAAGATCTGCATTTAATTGGGGGTGGGGGTTGGGATTCTGTTTGAAATAGGGACTATTCCTGCTGTGAAAACAGAGGCCCGTCATTGAAGGGGGGCGCCTGGCCAGAGGGAGAAGCCTCCTGTGTGAGTGTCTCCCGCAGCCTGCAGTGGCGAGGGGTTACTGTGTCTCAGGGGATGAGGCAGGATGTAGGTACCCCGAGGCATGGGAAGAGGTGGAGGACACCCACTGCAAGGCTGCTCTCCACGCATCCACCTGTGTGAATGTCTTTTCCAGTGTGGTTTGAGAATGTTCCTGGAATAAACGCCTTTGCTTTGTCCTTTTGGTGGTTGCTCCTTAGGCAGCTTCCAGGTCAAGCCTGTGCCTGAGGACATTAAAAGCAGGAGGTGGAGCCTAGGGAGTGCTGGGTGGGGATCTGGCCTTGGCCCTGCACTCTCTCTGCTCTGAGAGAAGGGCATCCCTGCACACACACGGACGGGGCAGAGCCAGGCTCAGATGGCACTGCGGCCAAGGAAGCGAGTCCTGTCTTGACTGTCACCCAGAGAGACGCGGTGTCCACCCCACTGCCACCTAGCCAGCAGCTTCTACAACCCAAGTGCCCCTGTGCTGACACGAGCAGCCCTCAGACAGCCTGGTGCTGGGTGTCCAGGGAGGGGGTACACGTACACAAAGAGGAATCACCACGTGTGCGTTAGGAAGAGGGACGGGTTTAATACGGTCTTTGATGCTGTGCTGGATCCTTCATTCTGCGGAGCTTCTCTTGTAGTTCTCTAGGTGGTACAAGACCCAGCCTGCAGGGATCAGGAAGCTGAGGAACGTCACAGAGAGCCCGATGGCCTGCTCCTGGGTTGAGGAGAGCACACATGAATCCACTAGGCCCAGTTACAGGGCTCAGTCCTGGGTCATTAAGTGGGCTGTCTTCTTCCCCCACTGTTGCCAGGTCCTAACCAGAGCAGTCAAGATAGACTGCCCCCTCTGCGCCTGTGGGACCCTTGGCCCAGCCTGTTTGCCATGTCTGCCCCAGACTTCTCAGTGTCGGGTGGAGAAAGCTGCAGGGCGTGAGCAGTGACCACTGCAGTCAGGGGAGCACAGCCTTGGCAGAGACCAGGAAGAGCAGCCTTGCCCTCCAGTCTGGGGCGGGGCCTCATCACAGTCCCACCCCCTGCCCGAGGGCCTGCCTGGCTGCCTGCTCCTTCTGGAAGCTGTATGTCCCTTGACCTTGAGCTCCTTCTCACCAGGCATGAAGTGCACCCCCTTCCTGGTTACCTGCCGCACGTGTGTGTTGTGTTGTGCTGTGCAGGGCAGCAGAGACAACTGAGATTTTGACTTAAGGAACAAGTCCAGGGCTCTTTCTCTAAATGGCAGCCCTGTTCAGGCGCCTGGATGGAGGAGGCGGGATTCCCTATGCTGTAAGCGTGTGTGTGCGCCTGGAACCTCGTGTTCTCAGTGGCTGAACTTCCGGAGCCAGGTTGTACAGCACCAACTATATTTCACCTTCACTCCATTTCTTCCTGAAACAGTCTGGGCCCAGTCCTCCCTCCCCTCTGTTCCCCCGGCTGATTCAGACGCGAGCCTGGAGACCAAGCCTTCCTTTTGACTTGACTCCCAGAGGTTTGAGAGGACTGCAGTGGCCTGGAACGGGGACCTTAGGCTAGGTTCAGATCCTTGCGTCATCTAGCCGTATGACCTTGGGCAGATGACCTTCTAGACCTTGGTTTGTTTATGTTTGTTTCTGCTTAAAGTAGAGCTTCGTGCTCTCCTGAGCCCGAGGGTCACAGGCTTACGTTTTCACCTGTGCTCTCACTGACCCTCAGAGCAGCCCACTATCCCCTTTAATGGTGGTGAGGCTGGAATACATGTTGAGCCCATCCGAGCTCAGCTGTTAGCACCCCTTGTGTGCCAGAAGGCAAGTGGGTCCTGCAAACAGACCCCCGCCCTCCAACTGACTCTGCTGGCTGCTTCCAGAGCCTGGCCTGCAGGCGATGGCTGCAAGGACCCCTTTCCTGGAGTTGGGACACTGTCCCAGCCATAGGATTGAGACCCAGCACCAGGATCACCTCTAGAAACTGCAGGCCTGAGAGGACATGCCTCTCCCCTTTACCAGCCTGGCCTTTTGTGTCCCACCCTGAAACCCACCTCATCCTGAGAACCTCTCAGGACTGCCTACTCCCCCTGCCCAGGTCAGGCTCCCCTGCTGCCTTGGAGGTACTTACCATGGGAGAAGTGGGTGTTCTGGCTGGCTTGGCAGAGACATGTGCCTTGGGAACCACCCAGCCCCTCAGGGGGGCTTGCAGCAGCCTGACGGTGGGGGCCAGCCTCAGCATGGTTGTTGGGCCGAGCTCCCGCCTGAGTCCCGTGTGTCCGCTAGCCGTGTCCTCTGCTTGCCTGGGTGTTGGGCTTTTTATAGCTCGAGGAGGGAGCCACAGCTGTTCCCTCCCATCACAGGGCTTGGCAGAAAGAACACCTGCTTGGACCCGGGAGAGAGCCGGCCTCAGACCAGTGGCTATCCCCCAGCTGTGGTGCCCGAGGTGCCTCAAGCCCCTTGCAGTGCAGGGAGGTTTGGTCCTCTCCGGAAAGGGCTTTCACTTCTTTGTAAAAAAGTAACTCAACGAAGGAGCAGGACCAGGGAAGTCAGGTTTGAGAACGCAAGAAGGGAAGAGTGACATAATTTAAGAGTAAACCTTAACTATCTAGAGCGTCGCCTGGGAGTACCACGTAGAGCTACTTGACAGTTCTGTGACTTAGGAACTCCTGGCTAAGCTGCCCAGCCTTCTCTTTCTTAACTGATGGATCAGCCGGGTGTTACCGGGGCACAGCACGTGATGCATCTGAGCAGCTTCACTGCTGACTTGGGCGGCTTTGTCACTAACAGCCTCTGTTCCTCTGCGTGGTGGACGACCCTCAGTTTTGCCATGGAGTAACAGAGGTAGGGAGAAGTTCGGCAGACACTTTCTGAGTGCCAGCTCCAGGTGGGCACTCAGACCCCTGCCTCCAGGCCCACATGTAGGTAAAGGCACCAGGGCCAAATGCTGAGTCAGCGCTGCCCTCTGCCCACCTGCCACGTGTGAGCTCAGAGCCTCTGCCTCTCTCCTGCAGACAATGAGTTGTTCATCCCTTCCCACAAAAATGTATTAGTGAATTTGTTTTCCTGCTCTCTGAGAGACTGTTTCACACTTTCTGTCTGTGCAAACAGCCCCCACCCCTCTGCCTGCCTTGAATACCTGCTGTGGATGTCGCTGAGAGAATGGAAGCAACCAGATGAGACCCACTGCCCAGCCCCAGCCCCTGACCTCCAGGAGAGCAGTGGGCCTGTGCCCTGTACCCCCAGATGCCAAGGCCAAGTCCCCAGCGTCTTCTCCAGCCATTCTCTCCTTGGCCCCTGGTTTTCCTCCCATCTTGTCCAGACCCTGCCTGACCCCCAAGAGCCCCAGGACCTTTGCAGTCTCCCTATCCACCCTCCCCAGACCTCATCCGGCCTTGACCCTCCCACTGCTCCTTCTCAGTCGTGATATGTAGGATGTACTGAGGACTTGTGATCAAGCCCCCGTTCCTTTCCTCTGCCAGCTGCTCCGGCCAAATGTCTGAGCACCAGCCTTCATTTCCTTCTGGTGCTCGCACTCCACATCTAGTCCACCAACACCACCACACCCTCCCCCAGTCCAACCTTGAATGTGTCCGCTACAGCTGCTCCACACGCAGCCAGGAAATCCTTCTAGAGCAATCCTTCTAGGTCTCATCACTGGCTCTGTTCAGCGTCCAAGAGGCTCCACTCACCTCCTTCCCATGGCCCCCGAGGCCTGCGTGGTCTGACCAGTGCCTGCCTTGCCCCTCACCTCCTTCCCCTGCACCCCAACACGGGCTCCTGCCTTGTCCCAGACGCACCTGCCCACACTGGTGCCTTTGGACGGCCTTTCCCTCATGTTTTCAGGTCATTCAGGCCCTGTTCAAATGATGTCTCCTCGGATATATCTCGCTGATTGTTTGCTTTTATAGCTGGAATATAAGCCCCATGAGGGCAAGGACTGTTGTGTTCACCACGGAATCTTTGGGGCCTGAAGCAGTGTCTCCTTAGCAGATGTTGAATCAATGTTTGGTGGACGGAGAGAGGGGTGGCCAGGTGGGTGGGTAGATGGGTGGCTGGCTGGGTGGACGGGTGGAGATTCCCTTTTACACGGCACTGGGTTAGACTTGAGGGACACGTGGAGTCAGACGTGACAAAACGACAGGGATTACACTCCACCGTCAGAACGATCTGAGTGGTTATCGCTGACAATGATGGAGGCCACGGCCCAGAACATGCTCTCTAGCTCTCTCCAGATCAGATCCACGTGGGTGCAAGTCCAGGAGCCAAGAAGCAGCAGGGCATCTGACCGCGTCGGTCCCCACGCCCCCAAACTCATCCACGGTCATTGTCTGCTCCCCTAGACTCAGCTGTGGTCACTAGGGACAATCACGCCCGAGTCAGTTGTGTTGAAACGGTGAATTGATGTGACTACATTCCGCAAGGAACGTAATTTCACTTTTGTTCTTCCCTGGAAACCTCACTTGTTCTAAATGTGGGACTCGTTTCTGGGCTCCCTGCCCCACCACCCAGGGCCCAGCCCTGACCGTCTTCCTGTGACTTGGTTTCCCAGACAGGAGCCAAGTCCTGGGAGGCCAGAGAGGGGAGCGTGTCCTGAAGGTTATCTGCAGCGGCACTGGGTCCCGATGCCAGCCTCAGGCCATGGGGGGCTCTGCCCCTCCTCTGGAATAATCCCTTCCGTCTGAACCTTTAATTATAGCTTTGGGGTCCAGCTGGGGATAAGGCTGGGGATCAGAGGACCAATTACCCAGCAAATGGTGTTTCTTCTTTCACAGATAAGACCTGCTGCCCTCACCTCCCAGGCCTGGCTCTGAGGGGGGCCTCCTCCTCACCCTCCCCAGCTGGGGTGCGGTGGGGGAGAGTGCATGCTGCTCTCCAGGCTTCCAAGCAAGTCCCCAGCCAGCCCAGTGCTAAGGATGGAAGCCCCAGTGAGGGCTGGGACAGGGGAGCTGGGGGCCACCCTCCAGGGGAGAGAGACAGCACAGGCCTTTCCCTCAAGCCTGGATGGCCACACCAGCTTCAGCCTTCAGCCCCTTCTCGTCCATCCCCCAAAGGCCTTCTGACCTTTCCAACCTTTCCAAACAAACCTGCCCTCCCTGCTCCCCTGTTCACACAGCTTCTGGAGGCTCCTACTGCCTGCAGCAGTAAGCTTCAGGTCTCACCCTAACTGGGTTTTTAGTCCCCAGAACCAGTTGTTCAACCAAGGCCTACGCAGACCCCTGCTGCCCCCACCCACACCGAGGCTGCTGAGGTGGGAGCCTGACACTGCCTCTCCTTCATAGCCTCAAGGCCACGTCAAGCCCCACAGAGTGCAGCCCTGCATCCTGGACTCTCCTCCTCCACCAGGATCTGCCTCTTCCTGGAAGGAAAATAATGTGACCCATGGAGAAAGGGGTGGCGCCAAGTGGGGGTCACATTGAACAAGGCAGTGAAAGGCCCTGAGGGTACAGAGTGGGGATGAGGCCCCTGTAACGGCTGGAGAAACCAAGGTGTGGAGAGGGAACAGGGCCCAGGACTCAAGCCGGCCTGGCCTAGATGGGGGTGGCATCAGGAAGAGCTCTCAAGGGCTCTGGTGGACACAAGTGTCCCTGTTGCCTGAATCCTCACCTCACCTTCTTCATCCAACCACACTCAGCACTTACCTATCGATCTGTGCCGGACCTGTCCCTACTGCCCGTGGGGGCGGGAGGTGGGGACCAGCCACCATGCACACCCTCCCTCGCAAAGCTGCAAGGCCACCTGGAAGGTCTGGGGTGGACACTGTGGGCACATAGCACCACCCTTTGTCCACACTCGGAACCACAGAAGCTGCTAGAGAAAGTAGGGAGGCACTGGGGCAGTAGCAGTGAGTAGAGAAAGTAGTGAGGCACTCTCACAGAGAGACAGTGGGGCAGAGCCCTCTGCAGCAGAGATTTTTAGTATCAGGGACCCATAAAAAATGCACAGGCATGCAAACGTTTGCATATTATTTTTATTGCATTGGAAATCTATTTTTATCACATAAAACAGTGGTTCTCAAAGTGTGGTCCCTGGACCAGCAGCATCAACATCACCTGGGAATTTGTTAGAACTCAGAAACTCTGGGGTGGTCCCAGTCATCCATTATAACAAGCCCCACCCCCCCATCCCCCAGGCCAGGGAATTCTGGTGCACAGCCAAGTTTGAGAACCATTTTCACGTCATATAAAAACTTAATGCTTCACACTATTTCATTTGAAACTAAGTGGCCACTTCCAGAAACATTAAAATCTCACCCAGGTTGCAAAACTCAGCCCCTTCCTTTTATCTACAAAAACATACTTCCACTAAGTATTTCTTATATTTACCAGGATCTACTGACACTTTCTGGCTCATGGGTAGAGATCCTGTGCAGGGGGCCTGCTGCCCCCTTCCTCACCCCACCCGCTCTGTGCTCCCGCCTCTGAAGCTCAGCTTCCACCCAGGCCCTCTTCATATGGAACATGCCCACAGAGAAACTCTAGTGCCAGTTGATAGTCACAGCATTCTCACAACCCTGGCAGTTTTGTTGGTGCGTTGATTAATTTTATGTGCCAGCTTGGCCAGGCCATGATGCCCAGATATTTGGTCAAACATTTTTCTGGGTGTATCTGTGAGGGTGTTTCTGGATGAGATTAACATCTGAGTCGGTGGACTGAGTAAAGCAGGTTGCTCTGCACAATGTGGGTGGGCTTTGTGCAATCAGTTGGAGGTCTGACTAGAACAAAAAAGGTTGACCTGCTCATGAGTAAGAGGCAACTCCTCCTGCCTGACTGAATGAGCTGGGACATGGGTCTTTTCCCACCTCCAGACTTGAACTGAAACATCAGCTCTTCTTGCTGATGTTTTGAGCCTACAGGCTTTAAGACTGGAACTTACACAATCTGGTCTCCTGGGGCTCCAGGTGCCGACGACTGCAGATCTTAGGACGTCTCAGCCTCCATAATTATGTGAGCCAATTCCTTATAACTGTCAACTTAAAAAAGCAAATTTGCCTGTTATTTCATCTCAAAATGAGTTTTTTGGGGAATAGCCAAAAGAACTGCAATTCGGGATATGCATGCTGTGGCAAACCACAGGCAAATCCAAAGAACAAAGCAGGGGAGCTGCTTTTATAGAGAAAGGGGGAGACGGAGGGGCTGTTCTAAAGGAAAGTCCACTGGGGGAGAGAAAAAGTTCAGGGTGGCAACTGCGTCTCATTGGCTGGCTGCAGTGTTTCTATTGTCTGAGCTGCAGCATTTCTGATTGGCTGGGCTGTTGCAGGGTGGGGAG